GAATCAGAAAACCTGAATAGACCGATAAGTAAAGAATTTGAAGCAGTAATAAAATAAAATAATAAAATAAAATAAAAACTCCCAGCAAACAAAATTCCTGGACTGGACGTCTTCACAAGGCAGTTTTACCAAATATATCCAAATAAGAACTAACATCCATCGTCCCCAAAGAATTCCAAAAAATTCTAGAGGAAAGAAGACTTTCAAGCTCTTTTTATGAGGCCAGCATTATCTTAATTTTAAAACCAGATAAAAACACTACAAAAAAAGAAAATTACAATATCCTGGATGAAAATAGATGCAAAAGTCCTCAACAATATATTAGCAAAAAGGATTCACCAATATATTGAAAAGATTATTCTTTATGACCAAGTGGGATTTAGCCCAGGGGTGCAAGGCTGGTACAATATTCACAAATCAATAAATGTGATATACCACGTAGACAAAATGAAAGATAAATATCACATGATTATATCAATAGTTGCAGAAAAAGCATTTAGCAAAATCCAGCACCCGTTTTTGACAAAAACTCTCAGCAAAGTGGTAATAGAGGGATCATACCTCAAAATAATAAAGGCCATACATGACAAACCTACAACCAAGATCAAACTCAATGGGCAAAAACTGTTTCCCTTAAGAACAGGAACAAGATAGGGATGTCTGCTTTCATCACTTTTATTCAATATGCAGTACAAATCTTAGCCACAGCAATCAGATAAGAAGAGAAAATAAAGGCATCCCAATTTGAAAGGAGAAAGTGAAACTGTCATCATTTGCAGATGACATGATATTGTACATAGAATACTCTAAGGACTACACAAAAAACTACTAGATTTAATAAATGAAATTGACAAAGAAGCAGGATATAAGTTAACATTCAGAAATTGATGGCATTTTTATACTCCAATCACGAACTCTCAGAAAGAATAATTAAAGAAAATCCCATTTACCATTGTAACAACAACAACAAAATTAAGATACTTAGGAATAAATTAACCAAGGAGGTAAAAGACCTGTACTCAGAAAACTAAAGGACTTTGAAAAAAGAAACACAGGAAAATATAAACAAGCAGAAACATATACCATATTTATGGACTGGAAGGATTAATATCATTAAAGTGTCCATATTATCCAAAGTAATCTATAGATACAATGCAATCCCTATTAAAATACCAACAGCATATTTCACAGATCCACAACAAATAAACCAAAAATTTATATGGAAAAAAAAAAAGACCCCAAGGCTAGTCACAGCAATCTTGAAAAAGAAGAACAAAGTAGGAGAGATTACAATACCGATATCAGGTTATACTATAAAGCTGCTGTAATCAAAACAGCCTGGTAATGGCACAAAAACAGGCATATTGATGAATGAAACAGAACAGAGAACCCTAAAATTGACCCAAGACATTATGTTCAATTAATATTAGACAAATGAGACCAAGCCTATAATGCAGTAAAGCCTCTTCAATAAATGGTATTGTGAAAAATGGACAGGTATAGGCAAAAAAAAATAAATAAAACTAGACCACCAATTTACATCATACACAAGAATAAACTCAAAATCAATAAAAGACTTAAATGTAAGTCATGAAACAATAAAAATCCTAGAACAAAATGTAGGCAGCATAATTTCAATCTCATGTAGCAGAATTTTTATATATACATAGCCTAGGGCAAGAGAAACAGGAAAAAATAAACAAATGGAACTACATAAAAAAAAACAAAAAACTTCTACACAGCAAAAGAAACTATCAACAAAATAAAAAGGTTTCCCATTATATGGGAGAATATATTTGTCAATGATACCTCTGATCAGGGATTAATTTCCAGATATATAAAGAACTCATACAACTGAACGAATGGACAAACAATCCAATTAAATATGGGCAGAGGACCTAAATAGATTATTCTCCAAAGAGGACATACAGATGGTCCAGAGACATGAAAAAAATGCTCCAAGTCAGTAATCATTAAAGATGCAAATTAAAACAACTATAAGATATCACCTCACACCTGTCAGAATGGCTGCCATCAACAAATCCTCAAATAACAAGTGCAGGCGAGGATGTGGAGAAAAGGGGACTCTAGTACACTGCTGGTGGGAATGCAGACTGGTGCAGCCACTATGGAAAACAATATGGTGTTACCTCAAAAAATTAAAAATTGAACTTCCATTTGACCCAGTGATTCCACTTCTAGGAATATACCCTAAGAAGCCTGAAACACCAATCAGAAAGAATATACGTACCCCCATGTTTATAGCAGCACTATTTACAATAGCTAAGATGTGGAAACAGCCCAAGTGTCCATCAGTAGACGAATAGATAAAAAAGCTGTGATACATATACACAATGGAGTACTACGCAGGTGTAAGAAAGAAAGATCTCTTATCCTTTAAGACTACATGGAGGGACCTGGAAAGTATCATCCTAAGTAAAACAAGCCAAACAGAGAAAGACAAGTTTCATATGATCTCACTTATTTGTGGAATATAATGAACATAACAGTATGAGGAATGGGGTAGTCCCAGAGCGGTGGAAGTGGGGTAAAGACTGACAATCCCCTAAAGAGGAAGGTAGTGGGGGAGAGATAAACCACAGAACTTATATGCATGTATGCATGAACAGTGGATATAGACAACAAACTGGGGAAAGGGCAGGGAGGGAGCGGGAGTGGGTAATCAGTGGGGGGAAAAGGAGAAACATCTGTAACAAAAATTAATTAATAAAAAAAAAATTAAAAATGGAACTGCCAGTGATTCCAATTCTAGGAATATATCCTAAAAAGCTTGAAACACCAATCAGAAAGAATATATGCACCCCTATGTTACAGCAGTGCTATTTATAATAACTAAGATCTGGATATAGCCAAGTGTCCATCATAGAAGAGTGGATAAAAAATCGGTGGTACATTTATACAAGAAATACTATGCAACTATAATACTATGTAATACTATGCTATCTCTAACCCTTTGAGACAGCATTAAGAGACCTGGAGAGTATTATTGTAAGCAAAATAAGCCAGTCAGAGAAAGACAAGTATTATATGTTCTCATTATATGTGGAATCTAATGAACAAAATAAACTAATGAACAAAATAGATCCAGAGACATGGAAGCATGGAACAGATTGACAAATCTTGGAGGGAAGGGGGCTGGTGGGAAGAGATAAACCAAAGAACATATATGCATATATACATCACCAGTGGACAAAGACCATAGTGTGCTGAAGGCCGGGGGTAGGCAGGAATAGGGTGGAGGAGGTCAATGGGGGAAAAATAGGGGTACATCTATACTTTTAACACTAAAAATATATTTTAAAGATAAAAATGTTAAGGTTAAAATGTGATATTGTAGTAAAAATAAATAACAATGTATAATTGGGTTTAAATTATGAATTGAAATAGAAAAGAGGAATAGCATTTTTAGTCCACTGTCGGATACAGCATCAGTGCAGGGTAGATAAAAACACTTATCTGAAATGAAACCAACACTCATTATGGGAGTTGGTTCACACTCAGCTTCATGGACTTTCTTTCTTGGTCATATCTTTAAACCCTTGAGAGCATTCTCAACAAATATTGTGACAAAAAATAAAAGCAAACCAACAATAAAACTTATCTATTGACTGTTGGAATTGCCGCACATCCTTTCATATTTAAATCTTGTAACTTGTTTTGTGTGTCTACTAGTCTTCATTGATGACAGATTAAGAGAAAATACAAATACACTTTAAAACTAACTTTTCATGTAGTAATATTTTTATTACTTGACAACACAATACTATTCTACATTGATCAGTTTTCTGAGTCATTTTCATCATGTCAACCAGAGTGTAGTCACTAAATTTTGAGTTCCAATTTTCAAGCACACATAACTTGAGCCGTGTTAAAATGTCATGAAATATATACTTGCGATGTATGATTTTCATCCTACATAAACAAAATGCCTAACTCAAGACGAAGTCAAACTTCATTATCTGTTCAGAGATGTAGATTTCTAAAAGGCATTTTAAAGTCACTGATTAAACTTTTCCAATATTTATAGAAATTCCCATCATTTAAAAATTTCTATTTTACAGGTGTGGTACATCTTTAATAGTCAACAGTATACAATAGCAAAAGCCCTTTAAAATTTAATGAATGGATAGACCTGGAAAACATTGCGATAAGGAAGTAAGCCGGTCATAGAAAGATAAGTACCATGTGCTTTCACTCATATGTGGGATCTAATGAGCAAACTGAACCACCGAGCAAAGCAGTGACAGACTGAGAGAGAGCAGATAGCTCCGGGGAGGGGGTGAAGGGGGGTGAAAAGATTGAGCAAAAACAAAGAAGAGAGAGAACTCATGGACACGGACAACAGGGTGGTGATTGTGGGCAGGGCAGGGAAGTGGCTGGAGGTGGAAGAGGGCCTAGGAGTGATAAATAGTGATGGAAAAAATAAAATACATTTTACACTCAAAAAGTAAAGTAATGGTAATTTTATAATAAATCAAATACTAAACTGTATCTTATATATTTGATAATCTAACATGATAGTTTACTAGTTTCTTAAATAAAGATAAAAACTAAATTGAACAACAACAACAAAAAAACGATGGATAAAATTCAACTAATACTGAACTTGATATACGATTTCATTAGCACAGAACTTGTTATTGCTCCAATCACCAACAGGTCAGTGTCTCCTACTCTGGGTGATTAAAGGATGATATTCATATTAAACACTATATTTGATCATTTAGATGAAACCAGATCAAAAAGTTAATTAGTTATATCCAATGCCAGATGGGGTAAGTTTTCCAAATACTTTCGTAAAATTTCTAAATCAAAAGGTGGCCAAGGTTCTGTGAGAGCCGATAGCTCACATCTCAATCCAAATATTGAGGATTTTGTTACAGCCATGCTGTCCAAGTATTAATCATACAAAAATCAAAATACACAAGAATGCAGCATTATAGTATGACCTTTAAGGATAGACTGGAAACACAGGCTACCTTTATGCTTAATCCAAATCCTCCCACAGTTTGTCTTCTAATGGTCACCGTTCTTTCCTGAAAGACAGGGTTTTAAAAGTGGTTAGCTCTTTATAAAACTGTATTTAAACAACGTATTCCTCTTCTAGGTTTTGTTTTTACATCTATATGTGTAAATACAGTGTTATTCAATAGCTAAACTTCTAAAAATTAATTCTTCCAATTATTTATTGACACATTTTAGAATCAATGTTTAAATCTCTTCTCATTTCCACATTATGTATTCTTGTCTAAGAAATGACCGTGTTTTGGTTACATGAGAGTGACTCACTTTCAATGGTAAATACTATCTTTGTCAGCTAAGTGCTCATCTCATCACTAGAAGGCACACTGCTCACGGAGACCTGAGAGCACGGCTGGGAGGCTGTCCCAGCTCACAACAGACGCAGGTCTCCGTCTGAGATCGCAAGTGTAAATAGACCAGTTCGAGATGACTGCCTGTTTAAATTTCTGTAAAGGGTTTAAACCTAACTACTAATCATAATGGGCTTATTAATTTTTAGAATCAGTTCTTTTTCCTTTTACATTGGAAACAATCATTCAATCACTGCTGTATGAGACAAAAACCACAAAGAGCCACATTTGGGCAAATCCTTTCATTTCCAATATTAAGTCAACAATACTCTATTTTAGGGCACTTATCTTTACATAATGCACATTCTGGAGGCATGCAGAAAGGTTGAAAACTTGTATTTATAACTTCCACTTATTTATAACCATCTCATCTTCTGAATCTTCTCCTATCCATAAATATTTGAGACATCATCCTTTTCCCCTGTACCTGCCATAGACAGCTGTTATCTGGTTCCTGTAATTCACAAATGCCTACTGTATTTGCATTTCTATTCCTATATTACCTAGTATCGAATCTGAGTACTGCTCTCTTTCTTAGGTGAATTTTCTCCTTCCTCCCTGATTCAGGGACTGTGTGGAGCAGCTATATTATTATTTTTAAAGAACCAGGAAAAAATTTGAAGAACGAGTGCTCCTAGTGGCTCTTTTTGACTATTTTAAGATAAAATAAACCTCATCAATTTCGCAAAGTTACAAGCTACCTTTGTTTAATCAAGTATTTAGATTTCATAAATAACAACAAAATAATGCTTGAAGAATATGACAGCCCTACAAGAAACTCAGGGTTATTAACTATTATTTATTTTTAACAAAAAATAAGCCTTATGGTTAGAGACTGATATATATTTTAAAATATTAGTGCCAAAACATAGCATTTAATAATATAAATTTTCTTCTCTTTGACCATGTGCTAAGTACTTTAATCTATTTTAAAAGTACTTAAAATTTAACTCTTGTAACCTGTTATCTAATCATATTTTCAAGCCAACATGAAAATTATATTTATACCAGTACATTTATAGATGCATTCTAATTTATGCAAAGCAACTTAAAATATAAAACACCATACTTAATACTATAGTAAGTAATACCATCAACTCTATTTTTAGACTCATGAACAGACCGTACACAACTTTTCACTGGTGGAGGCACAGTATGAGAAGATGCTGTGTTTTAGAATTTATGAGGTAAAATGTATCAATGTAATCATACCTGAATACATAAGAGCAGAAACGGAAGGTGAACACATGCATTATAAATATACTAAATCGAATTTAAAATAAATTAATATTTTGGGCAGTGTCCTTTTATTGAATAGATAAGAACAATTTGTTAAATTGATTAATCTTTTATTATTTTCCATGCTGTTCATAAAAATATAATTGCAACCATCCTGTTCTCTCTATATTGTATGAACTTAATGGGAACCAAAATGTGCATGTTACCAAACAAACAGAAATGTTGCTTTTATATATCCCAGGTGTAAAGATTTCTGAGATATATGTGCAAAGAAGAAGTGAGGACAATGCAGAAACTATAAAGGCCATCCAGTGGAGAACTGTATTTATTAATTTTATTTGCTGGAAACATAAAATATTTGTAGGAAAAGAGCTAGGGCATGTCATTACCTCCGATAGTTCAGACGTAGTGAATAAACTTGAGAGGAATAATGATAATGGTGGTGACTTATAAATATTAAAAATCTATCTGAACTTATAATTCTCATAGCACATGATTATTTATTAAAATATTCTGTTTCCTAGACTCATTTTTTGTTCCATTACAGTTTTGAGAGCTAACGCTGTGTCTTATTCACAGTGGTATTCCAAGCATTTAGCACAGGCGCTAAATCAAAGCTAGGTGCTCATGTGTTAAATAGTTTCTTTAAACATTTACCATCTAATCAACACAACAGCTCACTGGCATAGGCAATGTTATTATAATTTAAAATGAGAAATGCAAAGGAGTTAAATCAACTTGACCAAAGCCCAAATCATGATTTAAATGAGTTTCTCTGATTCCCACTGTCTTTTCTATCACAACATCTGTGAGAAGAAATAGCAAATTAGGATGAAAGAAACAAAGAAACTGAACAATCAAGGTGCAAGGTACCGAGAAGGGGAGGAATTGTAAGAAACTGAGTGTTTCTCCCTAAAATCAGAATAAAGCAGGGGTGTTACTTCTCACCGCCCTAGCTAGTGCAAAAAGGCTAGAATATAAAATAAAAGGCATGCAGGTTAGAGAGGAAGAAAAATGCTTTCTGTCCTTTGTCTACATAGACAATCCCAAAGAATCAACAACATTTTCATGGAACTAATAAGTAATTATAGCAAGGTCACAGGAGACAAGGTTAACACAGCGAGTCTTTGAATATCACCATTTCACTGAATGTTGTTTCATTTTATGTTTTTATTTATGGATTGATTTTAGAGAGAGAGGGGGAGGGGGAGGCATTGATTTGTTGTTCCACTTGTTTATGCATCCATGTATGTTCTCTGACCAACGATGGAACTTGCAACCTCAGCCTATCAGGATGAGGGTCCAACCAACTGAGCTATCCAGCCAGACCCTGTTTCATTACATGTTGATGAGAGAAAAAAAAATCAATTTCTGACTAGGGACACAGTCTGTGTGGAGTTTGCACGTTCTTTCCATGGTCTTCTCTGGGTCCTCCAGTTTTCTCCCACTCCCCCAAGATACGCATGTTAAGTGAAGTGACATGTCTAAATTGCTCCAATATGAGTGTGTGTGTGTGTGTGTGTGTGTGTGAACTGTGATGTAATGGCATTCCCACACTGGATGCTGAGCTGCACAACCACGTGACCCTGGGCTGGAATCAGAGAGTTGAAAAATAATGTTGTTACTTCATTTTATTCATCTTTCTAAATGTATGTATACCTTACATTTATGTAAATTACTAATATTAGACGTGTGTGGGGTGTTTATTTAGAAGTTTGGGGAGGTTTTTTCTGATCAGAAATATGCCACAGAAACTTATTTATTTGTATCAACTAGCCCATGGTAAAATTGATTATATTACACATTGTTTCATTTGAAGTCATAGTTTCTAAGAACCTATCGATGACATTAAGTGAGGACTTACTGTGTACAAAAGCCAATGGGTTTATTGTATATTAGCTATGAGAAAGTAGAGTTTGAAAGGAAAATTATAACACCATTTACAATGTCACACTAAAAAAAGAATACTTAGGTATAAAATCTAACAAATGGAGTGAAGATTATATATGGAAAACTACAAAACTCTGGAGAATTCCATGTTCATGAATTAGAAGACTCAATATTTTTTAAATGTCAGTTCTTCCCAACTTGATTTATAGAATCAGTGCGATCTCAATAAAAATCCCAACAAGCTACTTGAGATTATCAACAAATTAGTGCTCAGGTTTATATGGAAAGCCGAAAGACCCATGATAGCCAGCACAGTATTAAAATGGAGGAACAAAATTGGAGGACTCGGGGCACCTGACACAGGACTTATGATAAAGCTACAGTAATCAAGATAGCGTGAGTTTTTTGAACACTAAACACATATCAATAAATAGAACAGAAAGCCCCAAAAGAGAACAAAATACATATTGAGAGAGAGTGAACTGATATTTGACAAAGGAACAAAGGCAATTTAATAGAGAAAATGTAGAATAGTCTTTTTAACATACACCCTCCACAACAAAATATAGGAAGGCAAAGAAAGAAATCTAGGCATAAGTATTATGTCTTTCCCAAAAATTAACACAAAATGGACCATAGACCTAGATGTAAAAAAAATTATTATAAAACTCTGTAAAGAAAACATGGGAGCCTGGTTGGTGTGGCTCACTGGTTGAGCATTTACCATACTCCAAGAGGTCACTGGTTCAATTCCCGGTCAGGGCACATGCCCGGCTTGTGGCCTTGATCCCCACCGTGGGGCATGCAGGAGGCAGACTATGGATGTTTCTCTGTGCCCCCCTCCCTTCCTCTCTCTCTAAAATCAATAAAAATGTATTTTAAAAATGGGAAATATCTATATGACTTTGCTTCTGGCAACAAGATTTTAGATACAAAAATCCAACACATAGTTGATTAAAAAATATAAATTGATTTTAAAATAAAATTAAATACTTCTGCTTTACAAAAACATTTTTGAGACAATAAAATTGTTCACATATGAGAAGAAAATGTGGCAAAACTTATGAAGGACTTGTTTCTAAAATATGCAAAAAAACTCAACATTCAGGAAGAAAATAAACAATCATATTTTTAAAATAACTAAAATATTTGAGCAAACACTATGTCAAAGAATATACATGTGTCAAGTATGCATATGTAAAGAGGCTCACGTTCATGTATTATCAGGGAATTCCAGGTTAAAACAATGAGACAATATTATACGCCTATTAGAATAGCTAAAATCCAAAATACTGCAATACCAAATGCTGGCAAGGGGTCTCATCAAAAGGAATTCTCATTCCTTGGTGGGTATTCAAAAGGAAGTTTGGTGTTTTTTTTAAAATCTAAACAAAGTACTAACATATGATCCAGAAACTGCACTCCTAGGGATTAATTCTCCTAATAAAAAACTTTATGTTTAATAAAAACCTGCATGCAAATAGAATTTTTATCAATAACTGCTCGAAACTGGAAGTGACCAAGATGTTCGATCA